CAACAAGATCCCCTTACTTTGCTAGTACTGGAAGAATTAATAAAAAAAAACCAATGCAATAGCAGTACTGCAGAAAATTTAAATTATATATATGTATATTTTAAGTTAAAAGAAGATGATTATAAATGGCAATAAATTATAAATATTAAAAATATAAATTATTAACTAAATGTTTATATATAAAACTTAAAGATGGTAAGTAAACATTAGGTAGGAAAAAACGAATAAAAAAAAACCATGATTAAAAAAATATCAGATTAACTGAATGGATATAAATCAAATAAAAATAAATCCATTTGGATATTGATCAGATCAAATAAAAATTAATCTGATTGGATTTGGATCAGATTTATCTAAAATTCAATTCGATTTAATCCATTGCAATCCCTAGTCCTGACTAGTTTTAGAAGTCTGTTCTATTACTTTAGAGATTCACTTGTCAAACTTTCCTATCTCTTCTCAGTTATTGATAATTAACCTGGGATTTTTCTCTTCAACCTCTCTCTTTCTTTCCCCTAGTAGCTCTTTAAAGTTTCTGATAATTCTATTTACTTCTTTATTCCATACTTCTTTTAGTTGATTCTTATAGGCTAAATATTCTAGCAAGTGTTTTATAGTTTTGTCTTGTTGGCTACATACAATACATCTCACTTGTTTGTATAGGTCTGATCTTTTTATAGCCAACTTACTTAGTGTAGATAACTCATCATTGGCCAGTTTAATTAGAAAGCTTCTTTATTGGAATTGTTTAAAAGATGTATTCCATGTGTGCCCATCTTTAACTCTTTTCTATACTAGGTCCCATATATAATCCTGGTGTTTTGAAATCTGCTAACTTCATTTTTTTTCAATTCTATTTTGTTATGTTCACTGATAGGCTGTTGTCTTATCATTAATGTTCTTAATAAACTATCTAATTGGATCATCTAGAGTCATTTCTTGCCACTTGATTTCAGTAATAATTTTATATGAGGTGAGATCTTTCCATTCAATTGGTGGAAATTTTAGAGCTTCTTTAGCTAAGATATTTACTTTTTCATTATAAGAATCATTTGAGTGTGCTTTGAATTTTGTAAACTTTAGATCTATATTTTTCTTCTTTATTAGTTCTATCATGCGTGCCCAAAGAAACCAGTTTTTTTCTTTAAACCATCTCTTGTGTGTCCTTTTGGGATCTTCTTTTTTTAAAGATTTTCACTTAGAAATATATATCTAACTGTCTGTAAAGATCTCCACTATACTTTCAATTGGAACTACTAGGAATATTATTATAATTGCTATCAATTCCACTTTTGTAGATGAGGGCCACTTGTTTATTCCTGTTTAGAACTTGCTTTCTTTTCCATCTTTATCAATCTGAATCCAAGCTACTTCTATCTTCATTTCTTATTTACTATAATTAATAAGTGATCCATCAGAATAGAAGATTGGCTTTTCTTTAGATTCGAGATTACATTAAAATATAGCTATCAGATGATCTTGATATGTACCTTCTTTAATATTTTCTCTAATAATAGATTCTTCCCATATTTCAATATCCACATGATTTATTCTATTGTTTTAGGTCTTTAATAGGCTTTGATCTCTGTAAATTACTTCTTTAATCCTTTTTTCAAGTGTTGACCTAGGATTGAGGATTTTAAATTTTGTGTTCTTCTAGTGAACTTTCTCGTGTTGAGATATAATACTGTATATATCTCTTCTATTCCTATTTTTATAATGTAGTCATTATTTAGTATTGTACCTTCTGAACATCCTGGACATTTTTATATATTAATTTCCTGATTATTGTTAATACTACAACTGACAAAGTTCTTTTTTCTTGTCTTAATTTTTCTCAAGTTACTTGATTTTATTTGTTTTTTATTACTATTCATAATTTTTTCTACTTGTCTCAATTAGATTTTACAGTATTTTGAAGTATTCTGGTTTCTATTTCACATAATTTTTTCTTCAGGATCTTATGAATTGCTTTAGTTGTTCTCCTAAGAGGTTTTTGATTATAATTTGGAACCATTCTGATATAAATCCTTTGTTTGTATCTTGCAGGAGCTAAAGTATTTGCCAGTCACTTATTTTTTTGGTTTCCTAATTAATCAGTTGATCCAGATATATCAGTTAATTGTTTTTAAGTGATAGTATAGTTTTTTTATATTTTTCTGATATAATATATTCTCCAATCCAAATATTTCCCTTTTTTCATTCAAAGATATCTTGCCATTTCCAACTATGAAATGTTATTTTCATATCTTTAGCAATTCTGGTTACTTGAAATGTAAAGTTGCCTTTGTTTGTTAAATAACTTAAGAATTTGCAAGTTAATAAATTAAGTGGTTCCCAATTTTTAATTTGTGTTTGTTTAAGTCTAATAATTGATGTAATTCTTACTGATCCAAAATTATTTAGTCTATTGCAAAGTTCTATCACTTGACGTTCTCTTTGTAATATCCAGATACTTTTAAAATTATAAATCTTTGGATGGTGAATTATATTGTTAAGTATAGATCTGCATAAACTACTCTTATTTTTGAAAAGTTTTCTGCATGTCATTGTTAGGATGTTACATATTTTCAGGACAATATACTATATTGCATTTTAAATTCTATTCTAAGTATTAATACTCTACTTAGAATATAGAGAGCTTGTTTGTCTATTACCTTTTTATATTTAAGGGCTCTTGTGACTATATTAACTTCTTTAAGCACTCATTCTTTAAGCTCTATTGTTGTTTTTTGATTACTCACCCAGATCCCTAAAAATCTAGCCTGTTCTGTTCAATCAAGCTCTTTGACCACTTCTTCTTAAGTACTTGCTTTCATATCTTTCGGATAGCAATTAGAATTATTAATAGTAACTAGGACTGATTTGTTGTCATTTATTTGAAAATTATTGGCTTTGTAGAAGATTCTTGCAGTTTTCAGGATTATTTCCATATCTTCTTTAGATCTTGCTATCCACGTTATATTATCCATAAAGGCTATAGCTACATGTCTTGATTTTAGTCTTCTTGTAATCTTTTTTTTTAAATCAGAGTTCTATGTAACTAACATTTTATACCCTCTTTGTATATTATTCTTGATTTTACAAATGAGAGAATCATAGAAAATTCTTTCAAGTAGAGTTGAAATAGTTTCCCCTTGATCAATTTCATCTCCAGCTACTATTTATTCTGTGAGATCATTTTCAAGTATAATGTGAAATTCACTATTTTTAAAGAGGCTCATTATAATTTTTATAAAACCTTTTGGAGCTTTGATTCTTTCTATTATTTTTATCAATATATTTAAAATAATTATATTATATACTTTTGCAGTATCTTGAAAAAGTATCCACAATTTCTTTTTGTTTTCTCTGGCATCTTCACAAATATTGTTGAGAATTTGAATTAGTTCTGCTATATGTATTTTCTCCTGACAGTCCTACATAGTTTGGTTCTTTGAGAATATTATTGGTTTTACAAATATTTTCCATTCTATTGATAAGGATTTTGATAAAACACTTTCTTGTGATCTCTAGTAAGACGATAGGTCTGGTATTTGATAGTTTACAATCCCAAGGTTTAGGTTTGGCTATAGAATATATATGACTCTGTTTCCATTGTTTCAAAGTAACTTTCTATCTTAAGAAGTTATTTAATATTCTTTTTAAGAATCTTTTCTCTCTTGGCTTAACCTTTTCAGTATTTTTATCAAAACAATAATAATCTATAAAAAATAATTTTATTTATTTAAGATTAATTCAAACTAATAAAAAAATAAATATTATTCTTTAAGTTATATTCAGAGAAATAGTTTTTTTATAAAAATGAATTAGCAGATGCAAGCCACAATAATTTATAAATATTTAATATATATATAATAAAAACATATCATATTGATTTAACTATAAGTTAAAAAAAATTATTATTATTAAAAGTTTATTTATATTTTAAAAATTAATATATTTTATATCAAAAATTATTTTTGATAATAATTGTATTATTAAAATTTTTATAATTAAATTAAAGTATATAAAACTATTTAAAAAACTATGAAAATAGAAATTTTTTTAAAAAAAAACAAACTTATTTATTATAAGTTTCTATAATAATTTATTTAAAAAATAAAAGATATTTTACAATTAATTTTTTTTCCTTTAGAATTTTATTATTATTATTAACAAAGTATTATTTGAAATTTTTTAAGTCAAGTTTTTTGATTAAAAGATTATATAAATTGGCTTAAAATAGGATTAAGATTTTATTAATCAAAAATTAGACTTTTATACAAATACCTTTTTGTATGTGATTATAAGATCAGTGAAAAGAGTTTTCATAATTTTCTTTTTAAAGTACATTATATTTTACATAATAACTTGAATAATCAATAATATACTATATAGTAAAAAGTCTAAACGAAATTCTTGATTCTTAATAGTTAACATTGTTTCACTGAGTATAGAAATTCGTCTAATATACAGTATAAATACAGTTGAAGAAAAGACTAATGCTTCTTGGGGTATTAAGTTTTTATTCAATTTGTTAATTTAACTTCTATACTTGAATTAGTATAAGCTTTTAAAATACAAGATGTCATAATAAAGTCTCTGGTATATTTAACAAATGTCTCATTTTTTCTACTTTTACTTTGAGATATTGATCTCTTTCATTGTTAATACGATTAGGATTATGCTTATCTTTCCAGGATAAAGGAATCATGGGCACACGTTCAACCACTTTAATTCCGCCTTTCTCAATCTGTTCGATCTTGTCGGGGTTATTTGTAAGCAACCGAATGTCATTTAAGTCAAGGTCAATAAGAATTTGAGTTGCAATATCATAGTTACGAAGATCGGGTGGATGGTGCAAGAGGATATTCGCAGTCACTGTATCATGACCCAAGTCTTGCAAATTATAGGCTCTGATGTGGTCAATGAATGACAAAAAAAAAGGATTTAAAAATTAGTAAGCAACGCAGATTGCACATGCAATAATGAACCTAAATCGGATTTTAAAAGAAGGATCACCTGAGTTTATCTGCCAAACCAATCCCCCTGCCCTCTTGTCTCAGGTATATAACAACACCGCGTCCTTCAGACTGGATCAGTCGAATAGCTTCATTCAACTGCTCGCCACAATCACATCTTGCACTTTGAACGGTTTCTCCCGTAAAACACTCTGAGTGGATTCTAACTAGAGGCGATGATAATTTTTCCGAACATGCTTGATCGGGTCTTAGCGTTGCGCCTCTTATAATTCTATCCATTTCACTTTCTCCCGGACGCGGAGCGTCTAGACTCTTACTTCGAATATCATCACCATAAACGACGGCTAAATGTTCTTTACTATCTCTGTTATTCCTATAGAGATGGAGGAAAATTTCCCCTCTTGCAGTCGGAATGCGTGCACGTACCTGACAATCAACAATAAGTGGTAGTTTTGAATTTAGAAAATACGTAGGAGATGGATTAGATGTTATGTTTGTTTCAGAGGTTTTAAGTGAGAACCTAAGGTGATTATGATTAGTCCCTAGGCCATTTGTGAATGTTTTTTTAAAAGAGTTCGGTGTTGAACGCTTCGCGGGTATTGTAGCTTTGGATAAGGCTGCTGGTTTAGATATTGTTTTGGCCGCTGATGCAGCATCCGAGGTTAAAGGTGTATCAAAGGTAGATACACCCATTAGTTTAACTACTATTGTCTCTTCTGAAGAATGACCCATGAAGCCAGAAAAAAAAAACGGTTTCTATTTGTATAACACGTGATCTACACAGACAAGTTCGAGATGAAGATTTTTTATAAATGCAACACGTAAATTTATATTTCATCTCAACATATGATTTGTCATTGTATACTTTCCAGAAAAAAAAAAAAGATGAATGATAATCACTAATATATTATTACTAATCTTTATTATTCATATTATTTGAACCTGATATTATGTAATATAGTGTTAAAATGCACGTGACAAGCCATTATTCTAACGTCCGACCGCCAGGCATGTAGATCACAGGTCGATAACCCACAGATTAAACAGATTAGATGTCTGATTTATCCGATTTATAATTTGTCTGGTCCGATTTGTCGATCAATGCATGTCTATATATATTCTATTCATAATATGCAATTTAAATTGGCCATACGTAATTATTCTAAAACCGAAAATTTCTGCAAGACTTAGGCCAATTATGGTTGATATTTCTATTGTATATTATATGTATTGGCTTTAAATAATTTTTTTTTTTTTTTTTTTTACCCTCTGTCAGTGTGCTTTATTAAACATTTGTAAGCTGTATATATAAAATGAGGCACTAAAGCTAATTCTCTAACTAACTTACTTGTCTTGGTTATACTATCTCTCTAAGTGCAACTTTGGGATAGTGGCTTTAAATAATTTTTTAATTTTTAATTAATTGATTACATATATTTTAACAGTAATTTATAAATTATATATATTTTATATATTGCTAAAGTTATATTTTTAAATAATTTATAAAAATTCTTTCAATTGCTAATATTATTATTTGCATATTATTATTATAAATTACTTTATAAATTTTGATTTAAAATTAAAATTTAATTATTTATTTTATATTTAATTTTATTTAATAAAATTTTTATAAAAATATTATTTTTTATTATTATTATTTTATTTTTTTAAATTTAAAAATCATTTAACTTTATTATTTTATAAATTTTATAAACTTATTTTTATTTTATAATTTTTATATTTTATATTTTAAAAATTTTTTTAAAAAAATTAGTTATTAACTTATTTTATATTTTAATAATTATTTTCTTATTTTAACTTGACTTTTTTTTTATAATTTTTTTTTTTTTTATAATTCATAATCATGCTATTATAACAAAATTTTATTGAGATATTAAAAATATCTATAACATTATATAAACTATTTAAATAATAATTAACTTGTCTTTATATATTATTAGTTAAAAAACTATACTACTTAAAAAATATAAGGAGTTTACTAAACTAGTTCAAATTAAACAAAACAAAATCTAAACTAAATATTTTAAATCAAAATTTAAAAAAAATATTATAATCTCTTAATAGATTGATTATAATCTTTATTTATTAGAATCATTACATATAGTTTGTTACTATAAATTATTTCAAAAAAACAATAGCTTGTTAAATTACAAACTAGGGAAGAAAAAAAAAAAACAATTTATAATCTTTTAAAAGATTTTTATTCAAATAAATAACCTTTTCTCAAAAGAAATTTACTTGATTAAAATATTCTTTAAATTTCAGATCATCTAAAAAACTTAGCCATTTCTGAGTATTGAGACTTTAATAAGAATGTTTGAGAAGCTTATTCTTTTATTGATATATGAATTTGCTTATTATAACACTGATACTATTATCACATTACAGTAGAATTAATCTAACCAAAATAAAAAAATCTTTGTAAAAATTTTGCTTGACTGGAAGGAAAGTTTGAAGATTTCATATTTTTTTTTTAAAAAAGTCTTTTCATTATTTAAAGAACTTAATTAAGAAATAGGAATATCATATTTCATATTATTTACTTGTCTTATATATTATAATTATTTTTCTTGAAAACTTACTTAGTTAGAGAATATATTTTTTATAAACTTTTCTTTTCAATTACCAATAATATTATTAGAACATATAAGTGTAGTCAATAAAAGTTTGTTTATATTTCAAAAACTAATATATTTTATGTTAGTTAATCATTTTTAATGAGAATTTGTACTATATAAAATTTAGAATCAAATAGAGATAGGTAAAATTTTTCAGAAAACTAAGAAAGTAGAAGCTCTAAGAGGATCAAAACAGTTAAAAAGAGAAAAACAAGTTTTTTTACTATAGAAAATCTCTATAAATCTTTTATTTTAAAGATTAAAAAATCTTCAGATATTTTATAGTTGATTTTTCTTTCTTTGAAAACTTTTTTATCATTAATATCAAAGGTATTACTTGACTTTTCTTAATTACTAGAAGTCAAATTTTTGAGTAAAAAGGTTTGTAAATAAGAGTGAAAATATATAAGTAAATATAATCATATTTTAAGTAATTTTAATGAAAGTGTTAAGACTTTATTAGTAAAAAAATATAAAAACTTCTTTTAAACATCTTTTTTATATATAATTAGAGAGTCAACAAAAAGAATTTTTTCTTTTTATAATTTTATAATTTTATATTTCTATAATTAAATTATTTTTTATTATTATATAAAAAAACTCTTTCCACTAATCCTCTGACCACACACAAAAAAGATGTTCGCAAGAAGTTTTTATACTTCTTTGCTA